GGGGTAGGGTACCCACCTTTCAGAAATTAAAATAAGGGACCAGTCCCTTTAAATGTCAAGCGAGGGGCGGGGTGGGAGTGCTGCGGCGGCAGTGTGTCGGTTAGTCTGTGTTACCCAGAAAGCAGTTGGGCACAATATGGCAACACCAACACCGTGAGTGAAACAATTACTGGGGCAGCCTACTATATAAAGTATTCAGGGACTTCTTATTTATTGTTACACGTACACATTTGTAGAATACGGAACAAATCGCGTCCCATATCAGTTCAATACATACAGGACGGGTGACAACCCTAGTTGGGGGTCATTAAAATTACTTTGTAGAATCATTTTTATCATCTTTCCTCAAATAAAGATGTCATTTATTTCTTTATTCATTCACTCAACCATTAGCCAATATGGTTGGAAGAGGAGCAAAAAGGAAAGAAGGGAAGAAAACTTAAGTTCTGCATCCAATCTCATGACTTGAGTGTTATTGTTTCTGTTTTTGATTCTATTTGAAGGAGTAAATGTTGGGCTCACATAAACATTTCCGCCGGCCTTCTTCTTGTGGCCTGTTCATGTTTTACAGGAACCAATTAGAAAAACAATTTTTGGAAGGAAAAAAGAACATGATTATTTTCCTTTGCTTGCTTGTCTGATTAACTGTACACAGAATCCGTGCTGTCCCACCTGGACCCCGCTAATGCAGAGGAGGACTGAGGAACATGTCCCTGTTTAATTTTAAGGACCTGAAATCCTCGCATACCAAACGTGATAGAGAGTGGAGTTGTTGCAGTGACCGCCAGCTGCTCCCCTTCAGTCCTGGCGTTCTTGAAGGAGAGAGAGCGCCATCGTGTGTAAAGGAGCAACAATTTCTTCCTTTTTCACAGTGTGGGTTTGGGTTAAAGAGGAGAGGTGTGTAAGGGGTGTGAGGTGTGTGTGCGTGCGTTTGTTTATAATACCTTGTGGGGACAATTTTCCTGACACATATGTTGTGGGGACAGAAGCCTGATCCCCACAAGGGGAAACCCTGTTTTTGGGTCAGGGGTCAGAGTTAGGACTAAGGTGTGAATTGAGTTTTGGTTTGGGTTTGGGTTAGGTATGTGATGGTTAGGGTTAGGAAAAGGTAAGGTTTATGCTGTAGGAATGATTGCAAGTCAATGGAAAGTCCCCACAAAGATAGCCAAGCAAACGTACGTGTGTGTGTGTGTGTGTGTGTGTGTGACTCATTCATCCTCAGAATAAAAACCTGAGCAGGCAAGAAGAGGCCAGTCAGACTTTTTAACCACACACTGAAGAACATGGACACAGACAACAAAATCCCTGTCCTAAGAGAGGGCTTCCTGGTGAAGAGGGTAAGAACATTTCATTATTATTATCAAAACGGATCTGAATTTAACTGAATCAAATTCTCCACAAAAATACATCAATTTAAAAAGTTTTTATCATGTTTATTCAGGGCCACATAGTTCACAATTGGAAGGCCCGCTGGTTCGTGCTGACGCCCGATAAGTTGCTGTACTACAAATACGAAGGAGGGAAACGGGATTCATGTCAGAGAGGGAAAATCCTGCTGAAGGACTGCCTCATAACATGTCCGTTCCTGGAGTATGAGAATCGGCCGGTGAGTTGTTCGGGAACATAAACACTCTTATATTTGGTGTATTTTAGAAAGGAAAATGAATAAATTCACACAACAACCAAACAGCATCAACTTAAATATGGATGAAAGTAACATAAAAAAAAAAAAGAACATGGTTTCACACTTGTACATACTGTTATACGTTGTCTTCTTTCTGTCATAATTTGGTTAATGAGAGGTGGTGAGGACGAAGGCAGGAACCCAGGTTGTAGAAGAAATTATAAATTTAATGATGAAAGCCCAAAACAGTCCAACACAGGCGGCACGGCAGAGTTTAGCGCACAGCTAATTACCGGTAGCTACTGATGCACAGAGAACTGAAAATGCAAGCTAACGCTAACCAGGACTTTACAGTTCGACTGGAGATCAGAGATGTGAGACAACAACAACTGACATTAGACAAGGACCCGACAAGAGACAAAGACAACCAGTGGATTTAAATACACAGAGAGGGTAATCAGGAAAACTAGACACAACTGGGATCAATCAACAGGGAGGACAGGACATCACAGAAACTCACAGGGAACATGGACACAGAAAAAACCAAGAAATAAATACACAAAAACACAGATCGTCACACTTTCTGTGGTGTGGATGGTTAATATTTTCCATTCTGAAAACATAATTAATGTTTAAGTGGAAAAACATTAAGGTTGCACAGCCTTTATTTCTGTTAATTATGATGATTTTCCGCCTTCAGGTAATTAAAACATTTAAGAGTATATAATATAAGGTCATATCAATAAAACATTTTAAGTACAAAAAAGTGAACTTCATGAAAAGTATGTTTAATACTTTGCTGAAAGGTTGTTGCAATATGAAAAATGAGCCTAATCTGACTGAATATTCCATTTTCTACATAAGCTGTAGAATATGCAAGGTATTTTTTATTTTTCCAATAATGACTTAATACCATGACAACTAGAAGTCAATGTTATCATAGAATTAGATTTTCATGCTGTTAATGTCTAAATATAGAGTCTATAAAGCTGAAAAATGTCAGCAGCTTTAGCTTGTGCTAGCTAATTAGCAGGTAAAATGCTAACGTTATCGCAAGTGTACAAACTCATTTGTAAAAATATTACCTGATTTAGGGTCATTTTACGATCTTAATTCATCCTAGACCATTTCAAATTGTTTGGAAAACAGTCAAGTTCCTTCTGTTCTCTTCAGTAACCAAAGAACTGGGTCAACTGTGACCAGTTAGCCAACCACCCATGTCTTCTGTTCCAAGAGCATAAACTCAGCATTTGGATTTTAAAAAATAATAATAAGAACCTTCAATTATAAGAACATTTATAGATGCCAAGCGTCAAAGAACACCTCACGATTTGCTCTTTCTGTGTTTTTTGTTTGTTGTTTTCCTTCTCACTAGCTTGCGTTCAAACTCCAGACCAAGCATGGAGTAGATCACTTTTTGGAAGCTTGTTCCAGGGAGGAGAGGGATGAGTGGGCTGCTGACATCACCGCCGCGCTCAACAAGCTGCAGGCAACTGACGGTGGGAAGCCGATGAGCCAGAAAGATTCTGCCCAATCCCGCTTACAAAACATCAACCTGAGGTAAACCCGACTGATGCATTCGCTCCCACGCGTTTGTTTTCACTGTCTAATATCTTACTGAGGCCCTGTTACTTTACTCTCTTCTACAGCAAGGTGTTGGACTCCATGTATGATGTCCACAGTGGGATCAAGTTGAGCAACCACGTGGAGCAGGGAAGCACTTACAGCAACTGCTTTTCAGGTGAATCATTATTTATTTATGACAATTGAAGCTCTGATCTGGTCTGAGATCACAGACTGGGAGGCAGAACAGCCTTTTAGCTACATGGTTGTGTTTTAAGGGCTTGGTTCTGTTCAGGCACTCTGACTTTTGCCTCCAATCTGAAAACATTTTTAAGTTACATTTATGGACAGATTACCACAGGGATAGACTAGATGTATTAAGCGATAAACAATAGAGAAAAAGTAAACTCAAAAAAAGGAATTTCTTCTTTTCTTTGGCTACTATTTGAAGTGAACAGAAAGGGTAGGCAGAGTACTATTTTTCAGAAAAATTATACCATGGAATCTAGGAATATGAACTCATGTTTATATTGTTCCAGTTATACCAAAACCTTGCCTTGAGAACATTTTCAGATTTTTATGGTAAATCATAGATTTATACAAATTAGACAAAGGACTTACACTGCCACAAAAAGACATGAACATTACGTGTCTGGAAGAATGTGTTCCCAATGCGTGTCGTCCCTGCAGGTTCAGCGGTGGTGGACTGGCTGGTGTTCATGCAGCTCAGTCTGACCCGTGGGGAGGCCATGACCTTGGCCTCCGCTTTGCTCGAAGAGGGCTTCCTGCAGACCGTCGGTCAGAGGAGCGTGGAGGCCCTTCGCACTGCCAGCCTCAGTGAGCAGTTCATGGACGACTCCACTGCCCTCTACAGCTTTGTACGCTACCTGGATTTTTAGCGTCTCCTTTCTTGCACCAATTTTCATGTTAGATCAGCTCAAATCAGGGAGTCCATTTAAAATGTTGGCTTCATTTGCAATACTCTTGTGCTTTTTCTCAGTCTGACAGCTTTAAAAAAAGAGGCAGCGTGAAGTCAGAGAGGTCGCTGTCTGCAGTGGAGCTCAGTGGCAAAGTCGTAAAAAGAGGATATCTGCTGAAACAGGTGAACTTTCTTGAGACTTAAGTAAATGTTGGAATGTGAACACAGTTTTTCACCGAGTCACTCAAACCTCCAAGTGTCACGTTGGAACATCGAAGAGAATTATTGCTGTGAAATTGGAATTCAAATGAGAAAGGCGGAGCTTAGTCAACGAATCACAATCCAATATGGCTGCCTTTATGCAAACACAGTTTATTGCTGCTTTTTCAACAATTTGAACTGTTTCACAAACACGATATCATACAGTAAGCTGAAATGTTGCCAAACTGGTTTGAAAGTATGTTGTTATTGTTTTGGCTAATAGTAGTTAGCATGCTCACTGAGCGTATACAAAACCATTCTATTCTTTTGAATATTATTGAATAGTTTATTTATTTCAGTAAGTTAATTAACTTAGCGAAACATGTTATGTACAATAATTACACACAGCCTTATACTTTCAAGGGTTTATTGCTGGTAATTAATGTTTTCCCACTTACAGCTACTGAAAACACGACATTTAAGATTAAAATATTACATCGGACCAATAAAAAAAACATTAATTTATAAATGTGGACTTAACCAAGAGTATGTTTACTCTCAAAGGTTGTCGTTTTCAAAATGTACTTTTATTCTGACAGACGATCTTCATGGGAATGCATTTGCAAATTTATTCATCGTGACTAAAAATGATGAAATCCTGCTCTTTTTAAACAGTTGGGTTTAATCTCATTCTAACATCCAATTCTGACCCGACATTTTTGGCTGTTTGGAACACATTCCCTACAAATGTGATTAATTTGCCTCATATTTACTGTGTAAATACCACTGAAGCTAAGCCAAGAGTCTATAATGTCAGCACAATTACAATATTATTTCTTAGAGGTAGAACAGTGACAGTAACTGTTAAACGTAACAACTTGCTTCCTTGTAACCACCCCGCCCCTATATTATAAGACATTCAGTTCATCTTGAAGGTGTGACACGCTGCCCTTTGACCCTGGGAAGTCTTCAGCAGGCCATGTTTGAACTTCTGGCTAATCTTTAACTGCAGGGCCACAGAAGGAAAAACTGGAAGGTGCGACTGTTTGTGTTGCGTTCGGAGCCTGACTTCCTCCATTATTATGACCCCACCAAGGTGAGTTCGCACAGTGCTGCAAAACATGAGCTATAGGAATGCATTAAATCAGACAGAGTGAATCCCCGCTCTGTTTGTTTTTGCTACCACTTTTACAAGCTGGGAGTCTGATGGTGGTGTTACTCATAGCAAACTCATCATCATCGTCATCATCCTCGCCTCCTCATGTCTGACTTAATCTCTTCCGTTCTTGTGTCACTTGTCAGGATGACATCAGCCCTGTTGGCGGCTTCTCCCTGCGAGGGTGTTTGATATCCTCTCTGGATGATAATGGAGTTCCTTCAGGTGGGTTAACTCGGATTTCAGTGACTAAGAAGAAAAAAAAAACGGTAGAAGTTTTACCTACATTTTTGTCCAAATAATTTGATTTTCACCCCGTGTTACCACAGCATTTGTAGATACTTTGGGCACTCGATTGTCTGGCAATGTACGGTCCTGAGTGTTGGTACTCTCAGGAGGCTGCTTGCGCCCCCATTGGTCAGTCAAAATAGGAAGTGAAGTTCCCCAACAACAAACGACCCAATTTGTGTTATTTTTGCTAGCTGAGTTCTGGGTCCAACATTAGATAGATTTCATTCAAATTCAAATTCCAAAATACTTTATTGATCCCAAAAGGGAAATTAAATGTTGCTGTAACTCATTTGAATACAAGACTTTTCAAATCAAAAAGACCACCTCTTTATTTTTGCCAAAAGATAATTTAGATAAAAAAAACAAACAAAACACTTTTGCCAAAAAATAAATTAGACCATTGTTTTAGGAAGCGATATGCATAGTAAGAACTTGGAAACTTACAAAACCGTCTTGATGTGGCAAAAGTGCAAACTGTCTCACTGTGTAGCTTACCTTTGAAATCTTATTTTTATTAGTGTTGACAAAAACAGAATTTGAAAACGAAGCTTTACAAACCTTTGCCTCTCTACATTAACTTAATGTCCCATTCGTTCGTTCGTCAAATCCCAAACAAAGCTAGCAGTAGCATACGCTAACTCCTCAATGGGAGGAAGGCTCATGTTTCCGGACTTTGTCTTTGGTCTTAAAGTGATAGCTCGAGACGTGTGTGCTTGCTATTTTGTTTCAGTGTGTTTTATGTCAGATCTGATCTAATTTGTAAGTACAATGATGCTCCATTGACATATTTACCTTCTCCTGTTACACAGGTGTGAAGGGCAACATTCAAGGCAACTTGTTCAAAATCATCACAAAGTCGGACATTCACTACTTCATCCAGGCTCCGACTCACCAGGAGAAGATGGACTGGATAGATGCGATCAGAGAGCACACGTAGAACTGCTGTGTCCAGAATATTTAACATATGTGCAGGGATTAACTTTTTTGATTTTTCTGTGAATGCACTCTCACTATAAGGCTAATAGACACTTTATATGTAGTCACCATTCTGTTCATTTGTGTTTAACTCGGTAAATCTTATGTCCTTGTGTGAATATTTTTAGTTTTTCAGTAGACCTTTCAGAAGCCCTTCAGTGGTAGCAATTTTTTGATATGTTTTTCCTAATTATGTTTAAGTTTAACCGTTTGTAATTCAGTTTCAATGTTAGCATTTGGACAATGCTTCTTTTTTTTTTTTTTTTTAGCAACTGATCAAGTTTGTAAATTTCATTTTCTGCCATTTTATTCTTTTGACATTTCAAAACAAAGAGAAATAACGTTATTTATTCAATTAGCAGTGTGTTCTGTCGTCTTTAATCACTGCCGACAATCTAAAGCAAATTTTAGTTGGTAATAAGAAAGGGAGCATAAATACAAAACCAGAAATAAATAGCTAATTCTAAAAATTTTTTTAACAAAATTTAGATTTGGAAAGTCTACTTCAAAACATAACAAAGAAAAAGCATCTGTACATGCTAAAAAAGAAAATCTGAAAAAAAAAATCTGTCATATCTGAATATCTTGTATAATCTCATTACGGTTTAAAGAAGAATTAATATCTCTGCCTATAACTCCTTTAGCAACCTTTAACATTTCTCCTTGTAATTCATTGAACAAAACTCTTATAGACCACTGGAGTTTTTAAAAATCTGTTAGCTTAAATACAGAAGTAAACTAAAATTTAAACATTTTCTTTGCCACTTGAACTAGGAGACAAGATTTTATATTGGTTTTGTTGGGTTTTACCGTGTATGATCATTAAACAGACATTCAATTCCTTTGTGTTTTAGCGCTGCCAATCAATTAAAAGATTTAATCAAATCAATCACACACCAGCGCTGCGATTAATCACTACGATTAACTTTGTAAGACTGAAACGTAAACATGCACATTTTCAAAAAAAAATATTTAAGAAAGTGTTTTTTTGCTTCAAACCAAAATTGCCTGAAGATTCTCAGTTTTTTTTATTTTTTTTTTTAGGTTTTCTGGTATGAATGAACGTTTAAGAAATGTTGAGAAATATACTGTGCTTTGGTGGAAGGATAATTAATTGTTGTAATATGTTTACCTTGGTTTTATCCAAACTTCCAGGGTGTTTTTTTTAAAGCGAAACTTGACAGTGAGCACAGCCCTTTGACTATCCACGCTAATCTTTTTGCTCACATTTGCAACTTTGCATTGTTAACCACAGTACAAGTCTGTGTAGCGTGCCGCTTTGAACCGAGTAACCCTCCGTGAACGAGAGGCTTTCGGCTCAAAATAGGTAAAGCCATTAATCTGCCTTACATCATTTTAACATGCTGAAACTTTTTAGACTAATCATATGAATTAATGCCTTAACCTTGACGGCTCCGTTTCCTGCTGAACGCCTTTTAACAAGTCTTGTAGTTGAACTTCGGGAAATTCCTTGAGTCTGACTTTTCATGTTGTTTTTCCCTTGGAAAAAAAAAAAAATTTTCCGTCAGCAAAAATGTACAAGCAGGGACAAGAAAAAGAATCAGCAAGTATGTGTTGCTATCGCTAAACTTATGTCCTCAGGCGCTTCCAGGTACCACAGACAGACACTCCCACTCGGCAAGCTGAGTCCAGCTTTTGTCTGAGTGACTCAAACGCAGCAGCTCTCGTCTGGCTCGGGGCAAGATCAAAAGTGGCGCAACACCTGATGCTTATCTTGGATTTGATGTCAAATCCAAACTACAGACCCACATACAAAGTGCAGTAGAACAAACAAATAACAAACGGATTTGATTTTATTACGGTGACTTAAGTATGAAAATATGAAACATTCCAGTGAAAGGTGCCAAAACAAAAAATGGTAGCTGAACAATTCGTGAATGCTTTTTCAATGTCGGAGGTGATTTACGTGCGAGTCTCAGTATGGGATTGTTCTCAGGATAGCAGCAGTCCAACATCACTAACTAGATCAATCAAGGTGAATGATGGAAATATCCCTCCAGATGAAAAAAAAATGTTAGAAAAACATAAACAGTGATAACATTCATGTTGCTAATTCTGTGTAACTAAATCGAGCTCAATCCAGCAGGTCATTCATTCTGTTAAAAGACAACTTTTTGCTCTTATTTAAAGACTGAGTGGTTATAGTCCATTCATCTCTGAAAATCAGAATGAAATGGGTCATTTAAGACATTATTCATAATAACAGCGTACTTTGATGAAAAAGTTGGAAAGGGGAAAACATTTTACAACGAGGCAATTAAAAAAAAACAAGCTAGTTAGCGAGCAGCATCTTGAATAACAGAAAATCAAGAATAACATTGTGGATTGACATTAAACATGTTTGTGAATCAAAATAAAACTTTTTCCACTCAATGAACCAGTTCTCAGAAGTTGTGGTTCAATGGAATGATAGCCTGGTCATTTCTACACTAGATTCTCATTTCCCTTCCTGCTCTGTCTGGGATTTCTCCCATTGAACTTGATTTCTCCAATTGAATTTCTGCAATTGCAGTGTGCCTGTGCAGGGTTGTAGTTCTTCAATGGCAGCAGAGGAAGTGAACAAAGCCGTTCAGTCCGTGTTGGTCACGCTTCACGATTTTAAACCGTCAAGATTTTCTATTTTTCTAATTTTTTAGAGATTTGTAGATAACAAATTTGACACATTTTGGGTTTGGAATCAAAAGCACAGCATTCCCAATACACGTATATGGAAGAGATAGTCTCATTAGAATAAGACTATTTTAAGATGTTAAATTTATAACAACGACATTTTATTCTGAGCAATTATGTGTATACATTTTGTTTTTTAATTTAAAATTTGCCAGCTAATTGCATAGGATAAAAATTCAGTGGTATAAATTCTTTGCTAAAAAAAAAAAGTCTGATTCTAGAAAAACTATAGTTCTTCCACAGTTGTATGGATTTAAAAGCAATTTTAAGCTTTGCTGACATTTCAGAACATGCTGCCATTTTGTTTGGGACAAAAATGAATCCAATATAAACTGAGAGAAATCCATATACATTGCTGTGTCTTTCAGGGCATGCACTAACATAGGCTACTGTTTTACACCATCAATCCTGTTGTTATGTCACTGGGCACAAAATGGCAATCTTCACTATGTTTTCAACTTATAAAACAAAATGAACTCTAGGAAATGAAAAGCTTTCAAAGGTTAATTCCAGAAAAGTCTAAGACAGGTTTCTGAAACCTCCTTTTCTGAAGGGATAAAAACTAATGCAGAGTTCTTAACTTGCTTTTTCTGTGGCTTCAAAGTTGCAAACAAAGAGTAGACCTTAGATCGCGTTCGCAACAATTCACAACAACTCAAAAGCATATTCCTCATTCGATTTAAGACGTAAGACGACTGCGGCTAAGTTCAGTCGGCATCTTCAAGTCTCCAGTCAGGTAATCTTAGCGAAGGCACTTTGTCTCAACATAGGATTACGAGGCTGGTGCAACTTTGTCGGCGAACTAAAACAGCGAAACATCCCGATGACGGCGACTGGAAAAAAGAAGTTCTAATCTAATGGCGGTGTGTGTACCGTCCCCCTCTCCCCTGGCGGCGTGGGGGAACACTCAGTTCAGCTTCCTGTGGGCGAGAGGCCGGCACTAGGCAACCTTGGTGAGCTGTAGGTCCCCGAAGACTCTTAAGGCGGTGAGGGAGGCGAGCTTGGAGATCCGGTGGGTGAAGCCACACAGAGGCTGGCCGTCCACCAAGATGCGAAACTGCTGGTGTTCACAGACGATCTCCATCTGGCAATTAAATGGACAACCTGTTATTCCAGTGAAGGAGCTGGATCTGGCTCTAGTCAAAGTTCAATTAATAGAAAATGCTTAATTTACTACGTTAAGTGAAAGTTTTGAACCTACACATCATCAGTCCAAACATAAAAACATATGGCGGATCAGATTTGGCCCCTGAGCCGTGAGTTTGAGACACGTAATCTAAACACACACACACACACACACAAAAAAGCTTTTAATTCGGGCAGGTGGCAAAAGATTTTAATAATTTAATATTACTAAACTGAAATTTGTATCAAATTTTCTTAAACAAATATTGCATAATAATAATAATAATAATAATAATAATAATAATAATAATAATAAATAATATTAATAATTATTAATTATTAATAATTATATTAATAATAATTAATATAATAATAATAATAATAATAATAATAATAATAATAATAATAATAATAATAATCATAATAATAATTATTATTATGATGATTATTATTATTATTTTACCTATTTAAAGGTTAAGAATAACGAAATAAAGGCTTGAATCATTTTTTGCCAAAAATTATTTCTGTAAAAAATACAACAAAACAACTTGTTTTTTGCAAAACTTATATTTTATAAAATTATACTCTGACAGTATGAATTTATAGTCATATCTTCTGATGTAGTCTCACACTTTACAGCAAGAAGTCAGTCAATCAGTCAATAGTATCACATTGATTTACTATTTAAATAGATCATATTTGTGAAGCGCAAGAAAAAGGGCGTGTACTTTTTCAAATGTTTTCCAGAACAAAACAAAAAAAAAGAGAAAAATCTGAAAGATGTGGCATGCATTCATATTACGCTCTGCCAAGTCAATATTTTTGCAGAAAGGTAGAACGCCAGCTGAAATTTCTTCCTCTTGTTGTTGGTGGAATTACTTAAGCTCAGCTTGTTTTGACACGTTTGTGTGCAGGAGTTTCTGAGTCTGACCACAGATTTTCTAGTATTTAGCGGTCTCCGCCTACAAGGGGCTGAATGCAAATATTTATTTGTAATTACTTTATTTTTGTCTGTCACAGAAAACCCCCCAATAAAGTTTGTGATTTTATGGCTAGATGTGGAGAAACTACAGGAGCCTCTACAAGGCTCTGTAAATATAGCAAAGGGGAAATGATGACATTGTTGGCATGACAGCTTATGCTGCAGATTTAAACGCTGAATGTGCAAAACCAAGGCTGCGGATTTGATCATTTCTCTAAAAAAAAAAAAAAGAGAGAGAGAGAAATGATAAAAACTCTACAATAGAAAACTCCTGAGTACAGAGCTAAAGAAATATACCTTAAAGGCTTCTCCGGGAGCAAAGGGAAAGAAGGAGAGTGTGTTTTCACATGGACCCCACTTCCCAGCCAAGCGGGCGTTTCGTTGGACGGCCTTATCCATGAAGCTGACCTTCAGCTGCAGACCCACATCCGCCTCTACGTCTTCCTCCTGAGGCTTGCAGGACACGGTCACCTCGATGCTGAGTCAGCCACACACACACACACACACACACACACACACACACACACACACACACACACACACACACACACACACATCAGGGGCACATGAATGTGGTGCTGGATTCACGGCTAAATGGTTAAAAACAAGACTATGAATTCCATGTCCATCTTTCTTTACTTTTCTAAGAGTTACCAACGGAGCAGTGACACCTGCTGGCCATGTTTTAGAACTGTAACACTACATTTAACCATGTATTAAATGTAACAATTCAGTACAATGTAATGTATTGTAACAATGCATTTCATGAACTGTCAGAAATAATCTTGATGACTGCCACTGATTTTAGCCAATGTTAAGAGAGAGAAATATTCACCTGAGAAAGATCTGATGATGGTAGCTGAATATTCATATTTATGTGAATTTATAGCACAATAATAAGTCATTTTCTGTTTTTATAGAGAACGTCTCGAAGGGTATGAAGTCACTTGTTTGGTCTACACTACAGCATTTACAGGTTATATTAAAACAGATTTTTAATATCGCATAAAGATTTTATCATCACATTTGTTAAAAAAGAATTAAAATTGAAACATCGCATTTATCACGTAAACCTCAGAGAATATGATTTTGATAAAAATAAGAGGATGCAGTGCATTGTTACTGCTTTCTTTATTATTATTATTATTATTATTATTATTATTATTATTATTATTATTATTATTATTAGTAGTAGTAGTAGTAGTAGTAGTAGTAGTAGTAATTTTTTTCTTTTAAAAAAATCCAAACGGATGTTAACAACCAAAAAAAAAAAAGACAGAAAGAAAAGAAAAAAAAAGAAATGTCCACACAATGATTAAGAGTTTATGGGATTTGCGTTTCTCCCACGCACACTCACAGACTAACCCTAATCAGGCATCACGCAGACATTTTCCAAAACAGGGTCTAGCTGGATGGTTGGCATGCAGTCATGCACTACAAATGTTGCTTTTCCTGTAAACAAGGGTACAATTAATAGTTCAGGGGGCAGCAGCCGGTGAGCTGCTGACATTTTAATAAAACGAGAATTTTATTATGCAGTTTTAAGACGACAGCTGTGCGCACTAACCTCTTGGGCTTTTTATCAATAATTCCCATGACAACCAGTTTCATTGAAGGCCGCATCCCACCTTTAATCTCACCGATGTACTGCCCCTGCAACACAAAAGAGACACGGATTGATGAGGCTGACGCGGGATGAGGCCCGCACCATCACGCAGAGACCTCAGCTGAAGCAGATGTATTAGGCCTAAATGCAGACAAAGTGTACGGCCAGCTGATGTGCGATCAGTTGCACCGGCGGGAACAATAGCTTCTTTGATCCAGATTGGAAACAATCAGTAACTCAGTCGCAGTCACAATTCCAACCAGTTCGATATTTTTGGATAATAATAACGCGGCAAAATGTGCCTTTCAATACAAGCACAAAGGATGTTACATACATTGTCTTTCTTGTCCTGGTCATCCATTCCACTCGGGGCGTGATGCAGTGTGGAAGCTGGGGCGGTGATACCAACTGAGGACCGATTGACTCTGCCTCCCAGCTGGCAAATCCCGCCTGTTGCCATAGAGACCGGCTCCTATTTGGGAGGTGATGCTGGAAGACAGACACAAGAGTTGAGACGCCTCGTTGCCCATATTGGCGAGATACGTCACAGGGCGTCCTCCATATTGTGAGAGGCAAGTTCACCTTGGAGGGCAAAACAAAATACCACTGTGGGTTCTGCAAACATCACACAGTAAAGTTTAAATTAAACTAATTTCAGTAACATATGTTATTTGTAGTACTATAAATCAAAGTTACTAATATAAAACATCTGTAAGACAGACACAAGAATTGTGTGGTTAAAATTCCCATAAACTTACATTATAATGTAAGTAATAATATAATAAATGAATAAATTCATTTATTATTAATTTGTTAACATTATTGCAAATCAGACTTAATGATAATTTGTAATGTAATAATAATAATGATGATTATAATAATTATAAATATGTATTATTATCATCATTATTATTACGTTTGGTTTTATAAGTATAGCTTACTCAAACATAAATATTTAAAATAAAGTATTCATTTGTAAACAGAAGCGTCAAAGTGACTGTATTTTCCGGATACACCTGAAGGCAACATTAACGCCATCCTCCTTTCCACCTTTGACCAACCAGCGGCGGAGAATCAGCTGATGTTTGTCACATGACCTCCGTTATGCAGCTAGCATAACATGTTGAGAAAAGCTTTGCTTCGTAGGTTAAACTAGCTGGGGTTCCGTCAGAGAAATTAGTAAGTCATTGCGTTTTTGTTTTGCTGGAAAATGTCTAAATATGTTATATGTGAAGACCGAGCTTCCCCGACTGACTTTTACGGAGTAAGGTTTAAGTTCAACTTAAGACATGATGAGCTAATGTTAGGCAGACTTGAGGGTTAGCTGTCAAATCAAATGGAAGCCGAATGGCAATTACGAGACAGGTCAGCCTTTGAAAGTGTAATTGAGAAACCAAAGTTTCGTTATTTGACTTGTCGAGTTTCATTTCGGGCCTTTTTAATGGTTATGTTGTGGTTTGTTTGCATTGATAAAATCTCACATCTGTTGGGTGCAGATTTTGGTGATCATAAGGGGGATTTTTGTGTGCGTCACGTTTAAACACGTTTCTAAAAGTACAAACTTAAAACGGTGTTGCTGAAATAACTTTTCCCCAACTTCAGTACAAATTGAATACAACTGCAAACCAGTTAAATCTCACACGAAATCACACTAAAACTGTATTTTGTCACTAGTCTCAGTTTCGCTCTAAATATGAATTAAGACTTTACATTTTTCTTGAGAGAGAAGACACTACAGAACTTCAGAAATAGTCTTACTGTAAATCTAAAATAGATCTACTCAAACTTTTTCACATTTTGTTACGCTACAACAAACTCCAGTGCATCTTGATAAGCTGTTTCGATAACTCGGAATAGTCAAGCCATAAATGCAGTTGAAAATCTGGATGTTAACAGACACTCTCCATGGAAATTACTTCAGCAAAACCCCCACAGGGTATACATGTTTTATGAGAAAAACTTTTGGCGTCATAGACTTATTTGTGCGTTTCACCACGTATAATGTGAGATAACAGTTGTTGTTGTTGTTTTTTTTTTAATTGCCTAAACTTTGATTTGTTTCTGCATCAGGTGATGAAAGGTCAAAGGTGCTGCCCGGTGTGACCCCCCCGGCTGTGATGCCCAAGCCGAGGCCCGTCACGGCGGAGGCCGCCGTGTATCCCTTCGGTCGTGAAAGCGAGGCCTCGCTTCGCGACCTCTTTGAGCACTTCAAGAGCTGCCTGCAGCACGGAGAGTGGCAACTGGCGAGTGCCTGTGTTCCCCAGCTGGTCAGCTCTCAGGGGGAACTCTCCGAAAAAGTGCGAAAGATAATCAGAGCTATCATCTGCCACCCTTACAGCTTAAAGTGAGTCGCCTGGAGGATTAAAACAACGTTCAGTACAGATATTTACAAATGCCGCATAAAAAGACATGATGTTTTTTTTTTCTTCTTCATTAATTCAGATTAAACTTTGTGTTTTAGGTCAGTTGGGATCACCAGAATTGTTAGTTTTTTACTAAACACCAGAATAGAGTGAGGTTTTTACATTTTAAAAAATATTTTTATGGGTTTTTTCAGTTCTCTAACATTGTTGTTACTTCAGTGATGGCAGCATCATGCAAAATTGACCAACAAAATTTACCAATCAGAAGTTAGCTGAAGGAAAGCCAGAAATAAGTCTGTCATAATAACAGATTTTACTGGGACGATAAATTGGCCCAGTAGTTTTTGCGATAAAAGATAATATTGTTGGTTTGAGACTGTTTTCAAGTAATATATTTACAATGGCATAATAATCCAAATTCACTCTCTCAAGGATCAGTACACTTTAATTTTGTAAAAACACTTAACTCTGGAAGTCGAAGACACTTGGAAAAATAAAAACAAACAAAAAAAAAAACTAACAAAACAACCAAAAACAATAAATTAAACAGAAATAAAAAACACACACAGCTGAAACCATGAATAAAATGGATCATTAAGTCTCAGTAAACAAAATTGCCCTTCAAAAAATATTAATCATCATGCTTATTGTGACAGGCTTAGTCAGGAAGTTAAAGTTTGGATCTTCTAAACGGACAATGACTGCTGAGCACCAAATTAGCTACAATTTGTTGTTAAGGACAACAAAGTCCATGTGTGAACAAACATCTCAGCTTTCTTGAAAGTCTGTGGGTAGAGCTAAAACGGTGTGTGTGTGTGTGTGTGTGTGTGTGTGTGTGCGCGCGTAGAACGCATTAAATTAAAAAAATATAAATTCTCTCTTATGTTCCATTTAACAAATGGAAATATATTTTCATCCTAACTGGCCTAACACAGAAAAAGTTTTGTCTAATTTAATGCCCAACTTTAAAAAACACTTTTCTTCTTATGCAGTGTGTGATAATATCTGGTTTCAGCAGTATATGTGTAGATGTATAGATATCTCATTTGTTCTTGCTGAACTCTGTACATTTTGTAGACGGGGTTCTACTGGCAGTCCGCACAAACTGGCCTGGTTCTGGCTGCAGGTCTTGGAGAAATGGACTCAAGACCAGGTAAACCTGCGAAACATTTAACGTCTGCGTTTCTTCCTAATCCCAATCCCGGACTGCTTCTCGTTGACACCGTTACTTTTAAAATCAGCCTTGCAACGTAAAAGCCGCGTCTCAGCTTTGCGGTTTCCTTCTCCAGGTTCCTCCTCACGTCAAACGCGAGCTGGAGTTCCTGCTCCTCCTGGAGGAACTCGGGTCAGAGGGCATACTGGAGGCTGATCTCAAGGTTTTTCTGGCTGTAAATGTGAAAAGTGAAAAAAGGAGACATGGATCTAACAATAAAAATGAACGCTCACCTGTGGTTTGGTTTTTGGCAGGAATTGCATCAGGCTTTCTTGGCATCCCAGTCGGAGGAACAGGCGTCGCTCGCTGCTGTTGAGTCTTGCCTTCAGACTCTACTGGAGAAGAAGAAACCGAGACTTGCCCAGACTTTGGCCAATTTCGTACAGGTGAAGTCAAAGTTTAGGGTTTGTATTTGCGGTCAGTCAGTAGATGAGTTGACTGCATAACATTTGTAACGCAGGATTTTGCATTAACGGTGAGAAGATGTAGTCTAAACCACGGGATAAATCCAATATTTCGCTTTTGATAAGGGGAGTTGAGCTTTAAGTACAGAAGTAGAACCTGGGGAATTTGAAGCTGATTGTTAAACACAGTTTTCACTCAACCTAACCAAAATATGCGCTTCATAAATGTCACTTTTCAATGGCCCTTTCCATGCCTGGCAGAGAATATTCTCACCCCTCGGATTATAATCGCAATTTTTTTTATTTTATCCAAATTTATTGACTTAAACCAACAGATAGTGGCTCCTGATTGTATATTGAAGATCCTTTACAAATGAAGTTGTGAGGGATGTTGTATACATTTGTGTTAAGCCCCCTTTTCAACCTGATACCTCTAAATATAAATCACTGACATCGTCAGCTGGTTACTACATAAAGTTCATCAGTGTGTGCGTTGACGTTGAACAAAAAAGCAGACTCTGGTCCTCCTAAAAACCTGGGTCTCAGTTCGGTTGAAGTTAACTCTGTTGCGATTTGAATGCATGTATGGATGCAGACTAGAGCGCAGAGCATTCTGGGTAAATGCAAGCAAAACAAATGTCCGTATCTAGCGCTAGCGGGAGAAATGACTCGTGGTCTTTTACCAACGGCAAAAGAAGAATCCTACATCCACTAAAACCTCCATTTTGGTTTACATTTTGTGAGAAAGAAAGTTGTGCTCATGTCTTCTTCTGAGGTCTTTGTTGTTTCCTTCTGTGGTTGTTGGTGCAGCGCCCCCACAGCTGTGGAGGTGAACAGGTTTTTCGACTAGTTTGGGTTGTTTTACGCAGACTGCAGCAGCTCAGCTGAATGTGGAACAAATGCTGCAATTTTGGTCCCAAATAGAACCGAGTCTACCGGACTATCAGGTGTGAAGACACCCAAAGTGAACAACCACAGACGATAAATTTAAGATCATGACCAGAGATCTTCTTCTCACAGCTGAGAGAGTTTGACTCAAAGGGCTTATCACTCCACAGTGTTAACGTGGGTTAACAGCGCCAAGAGAGATCCAAAGCTCAGTTCTCTTTAATGCTTGGCCTTCATTCAACAGCGGCAGGAAGAAAGCAATTGTTGAAGGAAAACCTCAAGAAGTTTGTCACGAGGAGGGGAAACAATAACCTGTGAAAGAAGGAAGTTGGGTTAATTGAGACAAAAGTTGACGTCTCTTGGTCTGGATTCAAAATACCATGTGTGATTAAAAAGAAATCCAACATTGCACGTCACACCTAAATGCATCATTAACATTTTGCAAAATGGTTGTTTCGTGATCTTGTAACTCAGATACAGATCAGTCCTGAAAGAGGCTGCAAAAGATTTAAGATTGTGGCGGGAAGTTTGCATCTGATTAGGACAAGACTAGACTTCCTGCTAGAGCTACAGTGAGATGCTTTAGATTGAAGCACATTTCATTTATTTAATCAGGACAGTGCACATTAGTCAGCATCACAGTAATT